GCCAGCTGGATCACTCCCCGCCCCAGGCCAGCTGGATCACTCCCCCACTGCACACCCCAGGCCAGCTGGCTCACTCCCCCACTGCACACCCCAGGCCACCTGGATCACCCACCCCCAGGCCAGCTGGCTCACTCCCCCACTGCTCACCCCAGGCCAGCTGGTTCACCCCCTCCACCCCCCTGTCCGCCTCCTCACTGTTCATCCATGGCCAGCTGGCTCAGGATCTTCTCCAGTCCTCTTCTCCCCACCTCCCATCCAGGCTTAGGAGCAATGGGATGACAGACGTGCTCTACCACACCTGGATTTGGGTTCTGGGGATTCTGACCCAGGTCCTCATGCTGTGCCCTCACTGAGATATTTCTTCAACACACTTTCTTGGTTCTTGTCAATTTGGTTGTAGATTCTCTTGAATTTTCTAGATAAATCTCCCTCATTTCCGGGTGTAATGAAATTCTTGATCCCTCTTTTCCTATACTTGTGCCTTCTGTTTATTTTTGGATTATTACATGGGTTGAGTTTTCTAGCTGTGTTTAATGTAGCAGTGATGGAGTGCCCTTCTGCTGTGGACTGGGTTTGCAGCTGAAGTAACGAAGTGTCCCAGAACACACATTCCTCCCCCTTTTCCATGATGGTATCACTAAACATTTGCCTGTGGTTGGTTAAAGTACGGATTGCAGTTGGGTAAAGGAGTGATGTTCTCATCTGGGTCAGAAGACTTCACCTCTCTCCTTCTCTCTATGTGTGTCTTTTTCTCATGTCTGTCGGTCTGTCTCTCTGTGGGAGGTGTGCTATGATGGGTGTTGTCCTGTGCATGTGCACTTGGTGCGTCTTACTCAATCTTGTCCCCTATCTTTTGAGACAAGGTCTCTCACTAGTAGGTTAGACTCTTTGACCAGTGAACTGGAAATCAACCTGTCTCTGTTTCACCCCACTCTGTGCTAGGCTATCGACACACACATGGGTTCTGAGAATTCAAGCTCAGGTCTTATGTTCACACTGTAGGTCTTTACCAACTAACTGAGCCACCTCCCTATCCCCCAAAGACTCCGTATTTATCCCAGTAGGATGCTTTTGTCACCTTCTGAATAACCCATCCGCCTTTGTTACCAGTCACCTAGGAACACAACACTGAAGAGCACAGTGAGGGTTCATCCAGTTATCTGGCAGGTAACACATTGCTGAAGAGAATAGATGTTCAAGAGTTCAGTCATGAGTGTTGGCTTCATGGGCAATGCCGTGCTATTAGAAATATAATCTAAAAGTCTTTTGATACTCTCTGAATTTCTCAAGTCAAATTATTGTACATTTTGCAATTTCTTTTTTCTTTCTTTCTTTTTTTCTTTTTCTTTTTCTTTTTCTTTTTTTATTAAAAATTTCCACCTCCTCCCCTCCTCCCACTTCCCTCTCCTCCACCCACTCTCCCTCTCCCTCCTTCTCCAGGTCAAAGAGCAGTCAGGGTTCCCTACCCTATGGGAAGTCCAAGGTCCTTTCAGCTCACCCCAGGTCCAGGAAGGTGAACATCCAAACAGAAAAGACTCCCACAAAGCCCGTCCATGCAGTAGAATCAAAGCCCAGTGCCACTGTCCTTGACTTCTCAGTCAGCCTCCACCGTCAGCCACATTCAGAGAGTCTGGTTTAGCCATAAATAAAGGACATTGAGCCTATAATTCATGGTCCTAGAGAAGCTAAATAAGAAGGTGAACCTAAAGTTTTGTTTTTTTGTTTTTGTTTTTTTTTTTTTTTTAGACTCCTATGAACCAAGCCTCAACCCGATCACACTGTATTTTCACTGTTCACTTGACCAGCAAGGAGCCGGGATCTGCCACTCTCCGACGTGCGAAGCTCCATTTGGTTGACCTGGCAGGGTCAGAGCGTGTTGCAAAGACTGGAGTGGGGGGCCTCCTCCTGACAGAGGCCAAGTACATTAACTTGTCGCTTCACTACCTGGAGCAGGTAAGGTGGGTGGAATAAGGTCAGTGGTGGCAACGGCACGTGCTGCATGTGCTCATGGCTGACATTCTAGTCTCTGGTTTGTAATTACGGGGAAATGTGCATAGCAGCAATTGTTTGTCTCATAGTTTTAAAAAGATTGTGGAGTTGGAGAGATGACTCAGTGGTCAAGAGCACTGGTTGCTCTTCCAGAGGTCCTGAGTTCAATTCCCAGCAACCACATGGTCACATGGTGACTCACAACCATCATTAATGAGATCTGGTGCCCTCTTCTGGCCTACAGGCACTCATGCAGGCAAACAGTATATACATAATAAATAATCTTAAAAAGAATTGTGTGTGTGTGTGTGTGTGTGTGTGTGTGTGTGTGTGTGTGTACAGAGTCAGGAAGAGAGCATTGGTTGGGTCCACTGAAGCTGGAGTTAAAGGTGGTTATGAACTGCCCAGTATGGGTGTTTGGAGCTAAACTCTGGTCCTCTGCAGGAGCAGTACATGTTCTGGACAGCTGAGCCATCTCTCCAGTCCCAATTTTTGATCATTTTTTAAGTGAAGAGTTGAATGACATGAAATACATTCCAAAATAATGGGCAACCAGTCATCATCCATTCCTGTATTTTTCATGATCCCAACTGGAATCTCTGGACCTTTGGAATATGAACATCCGCTGCATTTTATCTTTGGCCTCTGGTGGCTTGTCCTTTCTGTCTCTCCGACTGTGCCTACTCCAGATCTCGCAGGTGGAATCACTGTGTGTCTTGGTATAGATGTGTAATGATTCCATGGTGCCTGCACATGGTAGCATACAACACAATTCCGTTCCCTCCTGGGGCTTGAGCACATGCATGCATGTCCCTCAATTTGTTTATTCAATGTTCCATTCAAAGTCAGCAGGCTGCATCTGCCCCTCAGCATCCGGGCAGTGTTCCTGTGAACGTCTGTGTGTCTAGGAGTGCTTTGTAGACACCCTGTGATTTAAACCCTACAAGAGCCTCCTGCTGGGAGGGGTAAGGCCTCCATTCTACTGACTGCAAGCACTTCTCATCCCAGGTCACCACCTAGAAACAGGGTAGAAATGGATCTCAGTTTTCACTGGGCCCAGCACACAACTGTTTTTGTTACTTTCAAAAAGGATGGAGTGGGGGAGGCGGTACTGCTGCCTTATTATCTGTATTGTAAAATTACTGTTGGACGTGAATCCAGACGACAAGTGGTCTCCTGCTGCCTGTTTTGTTTATTTGTTTTCCCAGCTCAGAGGTTACCCCTGAGATGAACACTATGCTGCCAGATTCTGGTAACTTCATCTGGTCAGTACTTTTTCTGCTGTGGTCAGTCTCTTAGCCTTGGCTTGTCTTGAGGCACCCACACTCCCTCCTGACTACCATCCAACCCACTAGCTGCTCTACTTTGTAACTTTGACTCTGACTCCAAGAGCAAAGAAAACTCACCCAAATTTAGCTAGATAAATCTTCGACTCCATCTCTAAAATTAATGGATTGGATGGAGGATTTCCTGTGTTCCGTTCTTATTCTTAGATGTTTAGCCTAAAAGATTGAGGGCAACAACAATAAGATGTCTCTTTTCTTTAATGCCTAAGGAAACTTTTTTAGAGGCGTGTCATGCTGCTTCTGAATAGTCACATGGTTGGAGGCCAAGCCAGAGGGACCCACCTGAATAAGTTAGCTTCACCCCTGAGAACCACAGGAGGGCAGCACCTTAGCTGAGGGTCTGCAGGTATTGGCCATTTCAGTGCTTCTGACAAGAGTCATCAGTTCTAAGATTTTTCTTGCTCAAATATTCCGTACCATTTATACTGATGGAGCTTCTCACTTAATAGGACATTTACTGGTTCAATGATATATGCCCATAATGGGCTGTATTCAAATTGCCTTATTTCGAAGAAATGTGTGTGTGTTCAGATGGTGGCATGGTTTTAATTCCCACTGTGTCCATCTGTTCATACAAAATTACATTCTTCAGCTGAATCAAACTTTCTACCAATTGTAGAAACATTCTGCCCCACATCTACTTCCTCCCTTCTTTCCACACAATCTCCTCTAATTCCTGACTGTCACTAGAATTATTCTACTCCTCACACCTCTTTGCTTTACAGTCCTTGGAACATTCATAATGCCTAGGTGGCCCTTGTTTTTTCATTAATAACTTATCTAGTAAATATTGATGATGATCTTATGAGGGTCAGCCTTATCAGCTTGACACAGTGGGAATCACCTGGGAAGAAATGCTCAACGAAGGATTGTTTGTATTGGGTTGTCCCATGAACATGTCTGTTGGGGATTGTCTCAATTACGTTCATTGATGTGGATGACCCAGTCCATTGTGAGTGGCACCATTGCCTAGGCAAGGGGTCTTGGATGGTCGTGGACTGTATGAGAGTGAGAAATCAAGCTGAGCACAAGCGAGCAAACATGCACTCATGCATTTCTCCCTGCTCTGACCTGGGATGTTAAGCAAGCGAGCATGCATGCATCCATTTCTCTCTGCTCTGACTTTATATGTTAAGCAAGCAGGCTTCATGCATTTCTCCCTGCTCTTGGATGTTAAGTTGGCGTTTCCTCCTTGACTTCCCCAATGACAGAGAGTAATCGGAATTACAAACTAAAGTAAGCTTTCTATCCTCCAGGTTTCTTTGGCTCGGGATATTTTGTCACAGCGTCTGAAATGGGAGTAGGACAGATCTATGATGTGCTGAGGGTCCTAGAGACAGTCCTACCCCACAGGACTACCGCTCTGAAGCAGGGGTCCTCAGAAGAACATAGCTGCATCTCAGGCAGGAGCTGTGATAGGCAAGGGAAGGGTGAGGAAGGATTGAGGAAGCCGGAGTTAAGGAGGCCTCTGAAATGGAAAATGAGTGGGCGGAGAAGACAAGGGTGTAGGAGAGCAGGTCAGGTCCTTGGAGCCCTGAGCACATCAGCAGCTCGCCCCAGCCCAGAGGGCCCTTCTCTGCTCACTCTAGGCTAAATGTCATTCATATGTCACTGGCCCTCAGCAATTCTGTTTCCTTTCCACCCACCACATCAGGACAGCTGTTAGCTATTTTCTCTTAGACCCAAGTGCCTTCGCAGGCAAGGAGGAGGCTTGGCATAAGGTCACTGGCAGGAGAGGGAAGGAAAACAGGGTATGGGAGGCTGCAGACATGGCCATGGATCTTAGGCTTTAGTAAGGCTGGGAGGAGCTGCTGGTGGGTGGGTGGGAGGGCAGAAGAGAATTATATTCAGAAAGAAATAGAGAGCTAGAGCGCTCCCAACAGAGAAAAGAGAGCAGATACATAATGAAATTGCATAACTCATGGGCATTTATGGCCAGATTATCTCTAAGTATGTTTTATTATGTGGCTAAAGAGACCAGGAGTGTAACTAGCTCATCTATCCACTCAGCAGGTAGCGGCCGGGTCTCCACTGGAAGCTGTGGGTTCTGTTGGGCAGCGGGTAGATGAGAGCAAGCTATATGTCATGGAGCCAACAGAGCAGTGGAGCTCAGGAACCTGCCCTGCTGCTGTCTGTCTCTGTGACAAGCACCTTGATTCAAAGCAACTTAGGGGAAGGAAGGGTTTGCTTCGGCTTCCAGGTTACAGCTCATCATTGAGGAGGGAACTCAGGCAGGAACTTGAGGCAGAAGTCCCAAAGGAACTCTACTTGCTGGCTCACTCACAGACTCATACTTAGCAGGCTTTCCGACACAGCCCAGAAAAACCTGGCCTGGGGTGCTGCCCACAGCGGGTGGGACCCTCCTACATCAATTAGCACTCGCCAGATACGTGCACAGGCCAGTCTGGCCTGGCCATACCCTGAGTGGAGACTCGCTCCTCAGCTGACTCCAGGCTGTGTGAGGTTGACAGCTAAACTGACTAGGACAGCACCAATGCCTACATGTAGTCAGATAAATGCCATAATGGACTCCATATAAGTGGTGAAAATTAATCACAGCCTTTCCCTCTCCCATTCAATGTAAAAGATGGATAGACGCTAGATTACCTGGCCCCACCTCGATGTAAAGGAAGGAGCTTGGCCCTGCCTCGGCTTGATGTGCCATGCTTTGTGCAAACCCATGGGAGCCTTTCTGACTGGAGATGGGGGAGGAGTGGATGGGGAGGGAGGCAGGTGGGAAAGGGAAGAGGATGGCAGGACAGGAGGGAGGAGAAACTGGTTGGTATGTAAAATAAATGAAAAATTATTTAATTCAAAAAAGATGGGTGAAAGAGGGGCTAGTGTGCTCAGCTGCTTTGCATTAATTAACTTACGCTGGTTTAGAAATTTCTCTCAGAAATCTGGTCCTGCTGGTCATAGCTGAGAGACCTTACACCTGCTAGAACTCAGCCAGTTCTAGCTTGTAGAGTTTAGTGACTCTACATTTTTAAGTGATTAATATTCAGTCTGCCAGAATATTGTTGGTTTTGGAGTTCTCTTTTTGTATGCAACACTTTTTCCAAAGAGTTTCCTCAAAAACACTTTAAGCCACAATAACAGGGTGCCTCTCAGTCCCAAAGCCCGGGTTCACATGAGGAGAAGGAAAGAGGGTTATGTACTTGAGCAAGCTGTAAACCTCACCAAGTGCCCTGGGGGTGACCTGAGGTCCCCATCAGCCCCAACAGCAAGTGAGAAACTGCTGGGAACCAGCGTTTACTCCCTACCCCTTCAGAAATCAAATGGGGTTTCTGTCAACCACCAGCCAATCCCACAGCACACGTGGCTCCTGCCCAGTGAGTTTAGGTCGTAACTGCTCCCAATCTTGGTTGGTTTTCAGAAGATAATTTTCTGTGCTCTTCTGAGCTGTTTAAAAGAAAATCCCCTTAGAGACTGCACAGCTCAGTGGTTAAGAGTACTTGCTGCTCTTACAGACCAGAGTTCAGTTTCCAGCACCCACATCAGGTAGCTGACAACTGCCTGTAAATACAACTCCAGGGTGTCTGGTGCCTGCTTCTGACTTCCATGGGCACCTACATACACTCACACACACACACACACACACACACACACAGACACACGCATACACACACACAAATACACATAAATAAATAAAATAAAACCTTTTAAAATAAGAAAACTCTTGATCCATCGAGTAGCTCAATTACTGTTTTAGATTTTTCTTTTTTCTTTTTTATCATTTTTATTGAGTTATATATTTTTCTCCACTCCCGTCCCTTCCTCTCCCCTTCCCTTGGTCCCATGCTCCCAATTTACTCAGGAGATCTTGTCTTTTTCTACTTCCCATGTAGATTAGATCCATGTATTTCTCTATTAGGGTCCTTTTTGCTGTCTAGGTTCTCTGGAATTGTTAACTGTGGGCTGGTTTTTCTTTTCTTTGTGTCTGAAAGCCACTTATGAGTGAGTACATATGATATTTGTCTTTCTGGGTCTGGGTTACCTCAGTCAATATGATGTTTTCTAGTTCTATCCATTTGCGTGGAAATTTTAAGCTGTCATTATTTTCTTCTGTTTTGTAGTACTCCATTGTGTAAATGTACCACATTTTCCTTATCCATTCTTTGGTCAAGGGGCATTTAGGCTATTTCTAGGTTCTGGCTATAACAAACAATTCTGCTATGAACATAGTTAGGTTATTTCTAGGTTCTGGCTATGACAAACAATTCTGCTATGAACATAGTTGAGCACATGTCCTTGTGGTACAATGGAGCATCCTTTGAATATATACCCAAAAGTGGTATTGCTGGGTCCTGAGGTAGGTTGTTTCCTAATTTTCTGAGAAATCACCACACTGACATCCAAAGCAGCTACACTAGCTTGTACTCTACCAGCAATAGAGGAGTGTTCCACATCCCCACCTTCTCCACATCCTCTCCAGCATAAGTTGTTATCAGTGTTTTTGATCTTGGCCATTTTTATAGGTGTAAGATGGAATCTCAGAGTTGTTTTGATTTGTATTTCTCTGATGACTAAGGATGTTGACTATTTCCTTAAATGTCTTTCAACCATTTTAGATTCCTCTGCTGAGAGTTCTCTGTTTAGGTCTGTACCCCATTTTTTAATTTGGATTTTAATAATCCATTTTAAAATTGGATTATTTGTTCTTTTGATGACCAGTTTCTTGAGTTCTTTGAATATTTTGGGGATCACTCCTCTGTCTGATGTGGGGTTGGTGAAGATATTTTCTCATTGTGTAGACTGTCGTTTTGTCTTTTGACTGTGTTCTTTGCTTTACAGAAGCTTTTCGGTTTTAGGAAGTCCCATTTATTAATTGTTTCTCTCAGTGTCTAGGATACTGGGACTAAATTGAGGAAGTGGTCCATGTGCCAATGTATTCAAGTGTACTTCCAACTTTCTCTTCTATGAGGTTCTGTGTTGGTTTTATGTTGAGGTCTTTGATCCATGTGAACTTGAGTTTTGTGCAGGGTGACAGATATGGGTCTATTTTCATTCATCTATATGTTGATATCCAGTTATGCCAACACCATTTGTTGAATATGCTTTTTTCCCATTTTATATTTTTTGCTTCTTTGTCAAAAATCAGGTGTTTGTAGGTGTGTGGATTGATATCTGGGTCTTCCATTCTGTTCCATTGGTCCTCCTGTCTGTTTTTATGCCAATACCAGACTGTTTTCAGATATGTAGCTCTGTAAGAGAGTTTGAAGTCAGGGATTGTGATGCCTCCAGAAGTTCCTTTATTTTTGGCTATCCTTGGTTTTTTTGTGTTTCCATATGAAGTTGAGTATTGTTCTTTTGAGGTCTGTGGAGAATTTTACTGGGATTTTGCTGGGCATTGTATTGAATCTGTAGATTGCTTTTGGTAAGATTGCCATTTTTACTATGTTAATTCTCCCGATCTAAGAGCATGGGAGATCTTTCCATTTTTGGGTGTCTTCTTCAATTTCTTTCTTCAAAGATTTAAAGTTCTTGTCATACAAGTCTTCTACTTATTTTGTTAGAGTTACTCCAAGATATTTTCTGTTATTTGTGACTTGGGCCTGGACCTGGTCCTGCAGAGGTCGCTGACTTGGACCTGCTCTACTCAAGACCTTCTGTGGAGCTCAGTGCCTCGAGTAGCTGAATTATTGAGGGCAACACAGTTTCTAGGTCGTGAAGGAATTTCTAGGTGTGGTGTGAGGTTCCATTCTTTGTTCCTAACACAATGCTGTAAGAAATGTTTTGCCATTGTATTTATATGTGAAGTTCAGAATAGGAGCAAACATTACCAAACAAACACACAACAACAACAACGAAACCAAGGCAACTGAAAGGCTGCTCAGTAATCAGGGACACACCCTGCTCTTCTGAGGACCTGAGTTCCATTTCCCGCACACTTGTCAGGGAGGTCACAGTCTCTCTAACTCTATGTTCAGGTCCAATGCCTCTGGCTGACATGGACACCTACACTCCCATACATTTAAACAACCTCCAACACACACACGAGCACACACACACACACACACACACACACACACACACACACACACACAAGCCCTATGACCCCTCCACACTCCTGTGCCTTTCACTGCAGAGCCCATTGAAACCCCACAAGGAACAACCCCCCTCTGCTTGCCAACAACACATTTCTTCTCTGAGTCGCTCTTCAGAGCCACTCCATGTGGTCTGGACTCACAGTGGTGCTCTGAGAGACTAGCTCAGGGTCCTCTCTCAAGGAGATGGGTCAGACCTACACCGAAAGCAGACTCTACTGAAGATTCTACCACAGCACTGAGTGCCTCTTGTTTAATAACTACCCTAGAAGTTCACTCCTGATCTTTGTGTGTGTGCATATGCATATGTGAGATACATGTGTATGAATTGTGCACATGTGGAACCAGAGAAAGATAATGGGTGTCTTCATCTCTGATGCCTTGAAATGGTCTATCTCACTGTTACCATGAACAGGGTATCTCACTGAAACAGGAGCTCACCATTTGGTTGGGCTATGCTGGCTGGCATGTGAGCTCCTGGGACCCACCTGTCTCTATGTTCACCAGTGTTGGGATTACAGGCATGTACAGCCACATCAACGTTTTGCACATGTTCTGGAGATTTGAATTTATGTCCTCTTGCTTGTACAGCAAGCATTCCTTCACACATAGCAACTTCTTCAGCCCCTTTCTCTGGACCGTTACAACATTCCTCCAAGATAGCCAGGCTTTCTAGTTCCTTCTTTACAAGGAAAGGGAAGTAATATACTTTTGAGATTTTCCAAAGTCATACAAGTGGTAAAGCTGGATTCTGCCTCCACATCCTGGCTTCTTTCTTCTATCACACACACACATAGCCTCGTTTCCTCCATTTTAAAGACCATAGTCCCATTTTGATGTTTAAATATTTTCTCTAGCAGTTTTAGGTCCCTTCATGGAGAGGATGTGGGAATGTCCATCCCAGTGTGGAGCACCTGAAGCCCATTCCAGCTCTGGGGATTGGATCCTTATTGGTCAAAGCAAACTGGAGCCTTCCTATGGATGCAGTTATCAATCTGTGGGTCTTCTAGGGACCAAGATGCTCCCTAGGAAAGCTCAGGATAAAAGAAGTCTGTTCTCATGTAACTTAGGACTCTAGAAGTATATAAGATCAGGGTGTTTGGCAGCCATCCCGTGCCTATAAGGAGGCTACAGTAGAGATAGGAACATAAACCCGTTAACCTTTGGGGTTATTTGTAGCCTAGAGTTTTTCTATTTCCAACCCTCCTGACCGAGACCAATGTGACTTAGATTTTCTGTAACTTGCCACCAAAAGTGAGTTCACTAATATTCAATTAATATCACCAGGAAGGTTTATTAGCATATTCTTTGTGTTACCCACATACATCAGTGTGCCCTATAACAGTAATAATATTAAGGTATCTTATGAAAAAGGTTCAAAGTGGGGAGGACAATGAGATGCTTAATTGATCATTCAAAGGTAGCCATGCTGCTCCCTCTTCTTGCCAGTGCCAGGGTGGGAGGGGTGGGGAGATGGGGGGAGGGGGTGGGGTCCCTGGAGCAGGAGGCACAGGCAGCTGTGAGCCATTCAGTGTGGGCTCAAGGAATCTAACTTAGGTTCTCTGGAAGAGCAGCAAGTGCTCTTAACCACTGAGCCACTTCTCCAGTCCCATTTTTCTCATTTTCACATTGAAAGCTCTTGTTAATATGACTGTTCTGTGCCTAAGTCTTGGGGGGTGTCACCTGTGTTTAATTATTATATCTTTTGCATTCCAATTATTGAAAGCCATTGTCAGGTGTGCCTCTTCCGCCTGGCTAATGCCACCGTCCGCCCGCCTTCCCACAGGTCACCATCCCCTGGCTAATGCCACCGTCCGCCCGCCTTCCCACAGGTCATCATCGCCCTTTCTGAAAAGCGCCGCACACACATCCCTTATAGGAACTCCGTGATGACCAGCGTGCTCAGAGACAGCCTGGGAGGGAACTGCGTGACCACTATGATTGCCACTCTCTCACTAGAGAAGAGGAACATTGATGTACGTGGTTCCTCTCCCTGGAACTCTTATGCTGGGTTTTTGTCACTGGGTGGTGAGGTGGAGTTCAGAGACTTGGGGGAGTCTATGTCAGAGGTAAGCATACACAGCCCTCGTAGCTTTGGGTTCTTTTCCAGTGTTGTAATTAACCGACATGAGAACTAGTCTCAGATGGAATGAGGGAAGGAGATCTTCCCCTGCTCTTGCTCGCTGCCTTTGACTGATGAGATCTGGATATCTTAGAGCTGTCCTGAGATCTGGTCCCAGACTCTCTTAGATGGTGGCACCAGGACTCCTAGCCAGGGGATGTGCCGAAGGGTTTCCCTGGGTGGTTGCGGAGCCAGCTGGGGTCTTGCAAGAGTCAGATTAACATTTTGGATGTAGACACTCCCCCAAGGAGGAAAACAAGGCCGAAAAGTGCACCCTGCAGTGCCAGACATTGACTTTCAGCGCTGTGGAAACCGCTCCTTTGGTTGACTACAGACATTTATGCTGTGGTCTTATGTGTTTGTGGATCACAGTACCTGCTGTAGTTATGACTTTATGTAGTTATGGCTTAACAGAGTCAAATACATCCCAGCTGCCTGCTGGGACCCCAGGATTGCCTATATTTTTTTGCATTTAGCAGTCTTACCAAGCAAACCCATTTTTTAAAAAATAGAAAACAGTATCCTAGGGCCAAACCGCCGTGTTTTGAAGCATGTCATTTATGGTTTTCCAGACATCGTACCCTTTAGGTATCTTTTTCTGTTAATGAAAATTAAGTTTTATCTGGAGAGAAATGCCTTTCTATGCCATCATGTTTTAAGAAGCTATTTCATGGTTTTCCTTAGGAGTCCATCTCTACCTGCAGATTTGCTCAGCGAGTGGCCCTCATCAAAAATGAAGCTGTCCTCAATGAAGAAATCGACCCCAAACTGGTAAGCAAATGCTTGACTTCTGAGAGAGGGACTTATCACTCAGGCTGCCCTTAAGCTTCATTTGCAGGTGAAGATAACCTTGAACTTGTGGCCCTCCTGCTGTGTGAGTAGGTGACAGGCCTGACCTGCACCAGCACTTCTGGAGTTGGGGTGTCGTCCTTGCTGCACAAGTGCCGTGTGCACTGAGCTGCATCCTCACTCCCTGTGAGAAACTTACATTTTTAATTGGGCTGATATATATATATATATATCTAGATATATATATATCTAGATATATATATATATAGATATATATCTTTAACATAAACGTCCACGATTCGCTGAAACTTACTGTGGGGCAGCGGCTCTGTACTAAGCAGTGCTCTAAGAACCTGTATGCATTCGCGGATGTAATTCTCAGCAACCATGTGATGAGCTGTTCGGCTGTCTCCATGGAAAGAAAAAATGAAACACAAGGGTATGAAATAAGCTACTGATTGTCTTAGTAAAAGTGGGTATCAGAGCCCAGTAGTCAAGCTTAAGAAATCTGCTTCATGACACAGCATGGTCCATCCTGTGGACATACCCAACAGGCTGACACGCAGTGACTCAGTGGGACAATACTACCCAGCCCTGGGTTCAATCCCCAGAACTACAATAGAAAAAATACAATTATATTTATATTTGGGTCTTAGCCTTTCACAAAACACCCAGTTTTCCTTCTTAGATAGAGTACCAAGTCATTGTTCACATATTTCATAGAGAGAGTTATTAAGTAGAAATATTTTGTACAAGCTTCCTGTTATGTATTCTAGAGTTTCCTAAAGGCTAGCTATAGTTTGATTTATGGAAAAATTAACAATTTTCTTGGTTTCATAAAAATAACTCCTGTTTTATCAAAGCAGCTTTTATGCAAGGAAATCACAGAAACATAATTCAATTCCCCACTCTGAATATATTTTTCCTTTGTGTTTTGTGGGTTCTCTGTAAAGGAAAAGCAGCACTAGGTCAGCTCAGGCCACTGTCATGATCTGAATTTCTGCTCCATCACCTACCTCTCCCCACCTGCCATCATCCCACTGAAGGACAGAGGGAGAGGAAGGAAAATAAATAATGGGGCTATCGGTTTTGCCCTGCCAGCCTCAGGGAGTCTCGCTTTCCCTGATGGAGAAATCAGTGGGTGAATCAGGAGCTTCCTTGTGCCCACCTTGGTCAGACCCCAGCATCACACAGAGTCCTAAGGAAAGGAACAGAATGCAAAAGCAGAGTCAAAAGAAAATGCAGTCTGCTGTTCCTTCCCTTCCTGCATCCCAAGAGCATCACTGTGGCTGTCCCTGCCCCTCCTACACCCAAGAGCATTGTTGTGCAGAATGAGAAAGGTTATATTATCTGGATGACAAAAATTAGTTCACAATTTATGGAGAACAAAAATATAAAACATTGGAAGCATTTCTTTATTTTCTTTAAATTTTGCCAGAGAGACTTTTCTTTGAAGAATCTGAAGGCAGAGGACATCAGCGTGTGTTTGATGTAGGTCTGTGACAGATTTAAAGTAAAGAGAAATTGGGAGCAAAAAGCTAATCGCTGATAGTTGAAGCGATTGCTGTGGTTTTTCCTAGTGCTGACTGACATGGTGACTGCCAAGTGTGGCTCGCTACTCTCTGTATTAATGGCACCTTAAACCATACACTGGTGTTTATTATTTTAGTGTGAACCTTGCCTGTAATACAAGTGACAATCAAGACTTTGTCCTAGGGGGCAGGGGGGATGACTCAGCAGGAAGAGAACACACTGATGTTGCAAAAGACCCAAGTTCAGTTCGTAGCCCCCATGTCAGGTGACGTGCAGCTCCAGACGCTGATGTTTCAGGCACCCTCAAGTGCCTGCACTCACATGCGCATACCCCTACCCCCACAATTAGACATAATTTCTAAAATGATACAATTAATCTGTTTTAAGGAAGTGTTAAAAGAAACCACTTAATATACAACTTGGTTGGGATTTCCTGTGTCTTACTCTTAGATTTTAATGGCAAATATGGTGTCACCCTGAGTGATCAGAATCACCAGACACCAGTACTTCAAAGCGACATGGTGAAGGCAGGAACATGAGCTGGACAGAGTCCAGAATGACTGGACATGGGCCAGGATCTCCCCAGATGCCTCTAAGTACACAGGAAATCTGTAGGACGCATGGCCATAGCAATAGTAGTTTGGGTTTATAAATCCTTAGAAAGTCTAGAGCCGGGGCATGACTCAATTGATGAAGTGCTCACTGTGCAAGCGTGAAGTCCTGACTCTGACCCCCAGAACCCACCTCAGAAAGCTGGAGTGATCTCAGACTTGTAGTCCTAGTGCTGGGGAGGCAGAGGTGGGATGATTCCTCGGGCATGTGCACCCGTACACATCCGCAGGCACAACACAAAGACTAAAGAAAGCATCAGTGTCAGGGAGGAGAGGTGAAAGTGAATGACTCTTGTCCAAAGGGCGCCGTTCTGTGTGGCTTGGAGGTTTCTCACTGTGTTTTGAAAAGAGGCCAACAAGTACAACATGGCACCCTGCACTTTTGAATAAAGTCCCTGGAGTCTGTGTCCAAAATGCTCTTGTGATTTAGAGGGGTTGTTGGATCTGTTGATGTGGTCAAGGGAGCCTGAAACTCATCCGAGTAGATCTCTGGAAGCATCTTTAGAACATGTTACCTGCGGACAGCTGTCCTTGAGTGTGGACAGTGTTAGCCCGGGGATGGAAGTCACAGTCCTGGATCTCTGCTTCCCTCCCTAGCATAAAACCAGCTAAGAGGGAGCCGGGAAGATAAATCTGTTCCTCATGTGGCGATACCAGTGAGGCCATCTGCCCCATCCCTGACCAGCAGGACAGATGGCATGTGTGAGTGAGCACAGATGCCTGTGGAGGTCAGAAGAAAACATCAGATCCCTTGGAACTGGAATTATAGCAGCTGTGAGCCACCTAACATGGGTGCTAGAAACTGAACTCAGCGCTCTGAAAGAGCAGGGCCCACTCTGACCCCCTGAACCAGCTCTCCAGCCCACAAGAAATATTTCCTTGAGAATTTGTAAGCCTTATCCCTCCTTCACATAGGTTTGAATTATATGCACAAATCCCCCTTTGTCTAAAAGGTTGTTTGTTTAATGTTTTTGTTTTATTTGTTACGGGGTCTCACTCTGTAGCCCTGGCTGGCCTGGAACTCTCTGTGTAGATATCTCAGACTGTCCTCGAACTCACAGAGTGCCTCCTGAGAAGCAATCCACAAGGAAAGAAGCAAGAGAAGAACAAATTATTGGAAGAGGGCAGGAGGTGGGAGGAGAAGAGCTGATGCTAACTTCGTCAGCCAGTTCGGGGACTCCAGTTCTCAAGGATGGCTACAAACAGATGTCCCATCTTTTTACTAATACTGGGGTGTCGTATTGACTGGTTTTATGTCAATTCGACACAAATTTAAGTCATTTGAGAGGAGGGAGCCTCAGTTAAGAAAATGCCTCAATTAAGATAATCTTAAAATTGGACTGTAGGCAAGCCTGTAGAGTAGTTTCTTAATTGGTGATTAACAAGGGAGTGCAGCCCATTGTGGGGGGTGCCCTGGGCTGGTGGTCCTGGGTTCTATAAGAAAGCTGGCTGAGCAAGCCATGAGGAACAAGCCAGTAAGCAACAGCCTCCTCCACAGCCTCTGCATCAGCTCCTGCTGCCCAGTTTCTGTCCTCGGTGCTTTTGGTGATGAACTGTGAGGGAAACCGGCCTGTCCTCCTCACGCTGCTTTGGCCACGCTGCCTCCCCCCAGCAGTAGTGGCCCTTCCTGAACAGGTGTCTTTAGATTGCATAGCAGGAAGGCGAAGGGTTTGTGAATACTCTAAGTATAGAAGAGAATTACATTTTATAATTGTTGATCTGTCATGTTATTTCTTATCCATTTTTGTTGCATTTATCATCACATGTGTTCTGCATAGACAATAACATGATCTGCAAGTATAGGCAGATGATTTTCTTCTTTTCATCGTCATGGCCTAGCCAAGGATTTTAGCAGAATTTTAAAGACATTCTTGTCTTACTCTTTCTGCCGCTCATAGATTAAATAAAGGTTTACTGTGACTTTTTGGTTGATATTCACTTACCTTCAGCTTGACTGAGTCTTTATAATGTGTCAGTAAATTCTTGATATGATCAAGTACGAATTTTAGAAAAAGATCTGACGTGTGTGTGTATGTGTATGTATGTGTGTATGTGTGTGTATGTTGTGTATGTATGTGTGTATGTGTATGTATGTGTGTATGTGTGTATGTTGTGTATGTATGTGTGTATGTGTATGTGTGTATGTGTATGTATGTGTGTATGTGTGTATGTGTATGTATGTGTGTGTATGTGTATATGTGTATGTATGTGTGTGTATGTGTGTGTATATGTGTATGTGTATGTATGTGTGTGTATGTATGTGTGTGTATGTGTATGTGTGTGTGTGTGTGTGTGTGTGTAGGGCCCAAGGGGAGTCTGGAAGAAGGTGTGGATCCCCTGGAGCTGGAGCTAGGCAGCTGACTTGGTGTAGGTGCGTATGTTCTGGGAACCAGCAAGTGACGAGACTGCTCAATGTTACTCTTTTCAACTGTGCATGTGATGGATTATCACATCCCTTTAATCAGCGTTATTATGAATTATTTCAGATATACAGAAAGGTACAAAAGAAATATCTACACTCACGACTTTTTTTAAGTGGATGCCATGTTTCTTCATCTTAAGAAAGACTACATCTTGGACCTATTAAAGCTGTCACTCCATGCACCTCCCTTTTTTTCAGTGCTCATTCGTTTATTTTTAAATAATAGTCTATTATTAACTTCATGAAGCAAGTCCAACTGGATTATAATACTAAATACTCTATTAATGATTATGTGGTTATAATATGAACTTGGTAAAACAAACATTGGCAGGCTATATCAGCTTTAGCCGATCCTTGAAAATGTAGTTACCAAAACTAACCAACCCATCAATTAAGTAAATGTCAACTCTCCTCCCTCCCTGACACTCCTTTCCCTTTCTAATAACACCATCCACTTGTGTGTGTGTGTGTGTATGTGTGTGTGCACACGCGTGCACGTGAAACACACATGTATGTACAACTGTGCATGCGTTCACAGAAGTCAGACATTGGTTGTGTCCTGCTCCTATTGTCTGCCTTTTCCCACCACCCTGATAAGGACTGGTCGCCCCTGAGTCCCAGCAACTACCCCTGCCCTCAGTTCTGGAGCAGCAGGCTTCTGTCCCATGACCTAAGTTCTAAGTGGGTGACGAGATTGGCTCTCAGGTCCTCATGCTTGTGTAAGCACTCTTACCTGCTGTGACCAGGGACCCACCACCCCAGCACTGGGTCACACACATGCACCACCACATCTAACTTTTGCTCGTGGGTTCTGGGAATCACTCACACCCTTGTGCAGAGTCATATAGCTTACTGACTGAGCCATCTCCTCAACTCTAGTGAATTCTGATATATTTTATTGGAATATTACATGCCCTTGAAAATTCAGGATGAGGAGCTGCATAAGCCAATATAAATGAACTCAAATCAAGTGAAAGCAAAAGAAAACAAGATGCAATTATGTGGAGAAATAGGATATTCACATAGTTTAAGGCAGGCAAAGTGGTGTTCTCCGTTATTAAAGGGAGCATGCTTGTGGACTAATGTATGAAGTGTAAGTTTTTCATGACTCCTAACTTCATTATAGCACACTCCAGGAAGGACAGAAGGGAGCAGAGAGAGATGCACAAGTTGTGTCTGCAATGGTTTGTTGTTGTTTTGTTTTCTTTTCTGCTTTTGTTTTTTGTTGTTGTTTTTCTATACAAGGTTTATCTGTGTAGTCCTGGCTATCCTGAATCTCACTTTGTAGACTAAGCTGGCCTAGAACTCACAGAGATCCATCTGTCTCTGCCTCCTGAGTGCTGGGATTAACAGTGTGTGCCATCACCACCCAGCTTGTAATGTTTTGTTAAAAAATATGGCTCTAGAGTTATTTATACCAAATATTAGTGATAGGGACTCTAATGCCTTTTAAATTGTTCTCTATCCAGTTTTGTCTCCCAAAATAGTTAATAAGTTTAATTAATTATCCACCATGTGTACACACTTAATGCAAATGTAGAGTTCAGAGGACAATCTGCAGGGGTCACTTCCTTCTTCCACTGTGTATCTAGGTCCCAGGGATTGAACTTGTCAGGCTTGTCCCCTAACCACTGAGCCATCTTGTACTCCAGAGCCTCATAACTTCCAAGGCTGTGCGTTTGCTGCCACCGAGGTTGCGTTGGCCAGAGGTGGACGTGTGCTCTTCCACTTTTCCCTGCACAGATGATTGTCCGCTTGCAGAAGGAGATTGCCGATCTGAAGGCAGAACTGGCCATGGCCACTGGGGAGTGGAGGACCGAGGCACTCACGGAAGAAGAGCTCCACCAGTAAGCACAGACTCGCTTCTCTTTCAACAGAATAATGGTTGAGTTCTCTGACCACCTCAGAGACTGCTTGGTCAGAAACCTTACCAAGGTGCCAATGAAGAGAGTGGGTGCTCCATGGGAAGTGGGACAGCTGGTAGCATCTCTGCTGCCTGGCTTTGGGGAAGTAAGGACCAGAACCCCACAAGGCTGGGAATGGCTGTCCCAGGCCAACGCGCGAAGGGTCCACAGACTGGGTGCACCATTACACACACTGGGTGCTTGGAGCAGTGTGTCTCAGATCTGAGGTGAGAAACAGCCCTTGTCTTACACTCACTGGCTTCAGGTACCAGTGTCTACCGTGCTAGAGAAAAGTCTCTCCTTTATAATACTGGCCCATACATTGCAGCTAAAAACTCCCATTTGACACAAAAGCCAGCATTCAGGACTTTGTCTGAGCTTGGTGTTTTCATCCCAATGGGATTTGCAGCCATGTGGTACATTGTCCTTCATTCTGTGTGAGCTGTAGAGGTGGCCTCTGTTTCTGTGTACTTTAGTAAGGGTTGCTGTGATGCAGATGATGGACAAGGCTTAGGAGTCAGTGGTGGGCTCCACTTTCAAATAAGAAGTGAAGTGGAGCTTGGCTGGGGATGTAGCTCAATCATAGAGTTTGTCTAGCATGCTTGAAGGCCTGGGTTCCATCCCCTAACACTGCACGCCTGTAATACCCACACCGGGAGGTGGAGGCAAGAGGATCAGAAGTACAAGATCATCCTTGGCTATGTAGTGAGATCAAACCCAGCCTGGAGATGTATGAGACCATGTCTTTTATTTTATCTTATTTTTTATAAAAATTTGATTTTCTTCCTACAACATATTCTGGTTACAATTTCTCCTCCCCTCAGCTCTTCCCAGGCCCCAACCTCCATACCCACCAAGCTCACATGATCTCTTTCCCTCTGTCGTTAGAAGACAAACAGGCTCCTGCTCTGACTTGTTTGCTTGTATTTTATGTCTACCTTTTAGAGAGCGTATCTTAGAAAGAAGAAGTTCTCTAAGATGCTTTTGAAGGTGCAGAGCCGCATCACCAGCTCTCTCTGGAAGGGAAATGGTGAACAATGGAGAAAGCAGTTCTCTGTGAACTGCCGAGTCTTGAGGCTGGCGCAGTGTCTCAGCAGATAGCCTTGCTGCTGCCAAGTCTAATGGCCTGAGTTCAGTCCTGGACTTGGGGTGGAAGGGGAGTGGGACTCCTCCAAGTTCTTCGACTTTCTTCTTCTCACCGTGACACCACACATACACACACCGCACATATATCACACACACACACACACACATTACACACCACACACACACACACATTCACCACATATACACCATACCACACATGCCAAACACACACACACACACACACACACGTTACACACCACACATCACACACACACATGCACAATGTGTTTTTTTTAAAAAATCAACTATAGAATCCCTGCCTGTGAAGCCTGACTGAAGCATGGAAAGTCTTCATGGAGCTTTCTGCTGTGATCAAAACTTACTCCTCTGGGATCATGCTTCCTATGTCCAGAGTTTAACAACACAACAGCTCCACAGCTTCCCTGACAGCACCACTGCATAGCATGCCTGAAATTAAAGTTAAATACACTGTCCCAAGTTAGTTATTAAGAATTTCATCTCAGGACTGGAGAGCTGCATCAGCAGTTAGGAGGTTCCTAGTTCAGTTCCCTGCCCCACATGTGAGCTCACAACCGTTGTGACTTCTGTTCCGGGGGATCTGATGCCCTCTTCTGGCCTTCAAGGGCACTGCATACATGTGTATACATACATGCACAGAGACACATGCACACAAAGCAAAAACAAACAAATAAAAAATATTAACAGTACTCCTTGAAATAACTCAAGATCACCTTGATCCTGAGGGAATTTGGCTGAGAGTCAGGTCACTGTGCTGCTCAAAGAAAGGATAGTGTTAGCTTGTCAATCACCAGCATTGATCCAGCCAGGAAAGCAAAACCCCGTAGGCTGCAGCAGAAGGACTCTGACATGGGGAATGGGTGTGCAGAGGATGGTACAGCCTAGAAGCTCAGCCCTTAGTAAGGCATCTTGGAGGTCAAGAAGAACAGGAGCTGGGGCAGGGCACAGTGTGACAGTGTGGTTTTACTGGAATGTCCTTTACTGTAATAATTTCTGGGAGTCAACTTCGGAAAGAAAAGTTTTGTTTTTAGCTCACAGCTTCAAAAAGTTGTGTTTTTGTGCCTGGCTTGGGGGAGAGCATCATGGTAGAGGCCACAAGAGAGGAGAGCTGCTAATTCCTGACAGTGCCCAGCAAGCAGAGAAGAGAGTAAGGAAGCCAGGGCAAGATAAAGTCCCAAGGACCTTCTCCCAGTGATCGACTTCATCCAGCTATGCCCTGCTTCTTAAAGTCCCCAATATTTCCTGAAATAGCATTGTAAGCTAGAGACCAGACTTTGGAGAAAGGAGCTGGAAGGGGATACTGTATTCTTTTTATCACCAAGAACCAAGAGCTGGCCCTGCCCCACAGGTGCTAGAGCATGGGGAGCAGCCCCAAGTGCAGGTACTCTGTGTTGAGGAACTGCAGCTGCTGTCTGAGACACCATCCAGGAGACGGCCCTGGCTTCCTCTCAATCCAGGCACCGTCTCCCATCGTTGCCCAAGTTGGCCAAACTTATCCAGAAGCTAGCTAGTAAGCAAGTCAGGGAGTATGGTTGCCTCTGATTCTGAGTCAGGTAGGAAAGGGGTAGAAACTGGACCTTAGGGGACATATGAAGTAAACCCCAGTGCTCTCCTGAATTCCTGTGCCCTGGGTGTCACTTAGGAGGCTCCACTGAGGGGCAAAATTTTCCAATATGATGGTTCGGATATGTCATACTCAGTGTGCCTATTCTGACCCAAATTTGGAGACTTCCAGAATTCTTATAAAGAAGCACAAAAATCTCTAGCCACACTTAAAATGAAGAAGTAGCATTACTGGGGACCAGAGGCTTGAAGAATCTCTGAGATGGTGCACAGTTAGGGCTTGGATGGGCAAACAGAAGGGACTGGCTAAACACAGGGCAGCATGGTGAGGGCTCCAGATGCAGGGGTGTGGGGACGCTTGGGCTAAGAGAAGGGTCAGTGTGTAAAGCTGCCTGCCTCTAAGCCTCATGACCTGAGTTCATCCCTGGAGCTGCGGTAATGGCGGAGGAGGGAACCAGTTCCACAAAGTCGCCATCTGACCTCCACATGCATTCCATTTCTCTCTCTCCCTCCCTCCATTCTCTCTCTCCCACACACACCACTATTAACAACAAAAAATAAATAACAACAATAATAATGTCAAAATAAGAATAATAGTAGTAGTCATGAATTAAAATAAGCATCTTAAAATAACAGGTTCTGCACACAGTCATGGTGTAGAAAACATTCAGAAAACCTTAAAAGGATCTAGAAGTCACCAGAGGAAACAAAAGTCAAGGATCTGATTTATAACAGATTGTCCATCACGTAAGGACTAGTAGTGATTTTTTTTTTAAAAAAGGCACTTCAAATGTATTTTCTAGATCTAGAAAAATTAATACTAAAAATGAAGATGAAATAAAAGCATTTTCTAGACACACAGACTTTCAGATAGAACCTAGATCCTTCCTCCCAGGTCTACCATGGCCTCTACATTAGCAAAAAGAAACATGCAATACAGGGCCAGAAGCAAAAAGGATGAGCAAATGTGTTCACAGCACCTCAGTGGCACCTAGTGTCATGTGGCACTTATACCACGCCCTCTGTTAGCTCCCCTGTTCTCTCATATGTGAAGCTGCCAGTGTAACACTCACCCAAGGGCTGAAGAGATGGCACAGTGGTTAGGAGCTCTTGTGCTCAGTTAGAAGACCTGAGGTCAGATCCCAGCACCTACACTGGGCAGCTCACATTTAGCTGTGGCTCCAGTTACAAGGTGTCTGATGCCCCCTGCTGGCCTCCATGGGTATCTGTGAAAACATATGTGCATACATACACACAGACACAGACATGAAGTTTTTTCTAAGTCCTGGAAATCACAACCAAATGCCCATTGCAAGAGCTTAGTGAGAGAGTGAAGGGAAATGAAATTGTGACAGCAGATTAAACACTGAAGGACCCCTAGATCTTACCTTGGTTTCTGTAGACCCATCAAGCACAGATATGGAAATGCCACCCTAGACAGATCCAGCGTAGAGGGCAGAGGGTTGGCATTCTTTTCTATGCGTAAGTAGTTTCTTTCATTCATCTAATGTTATTAATCTTGTGATCACAGAGCCCCACCATGGGGTCCGAAAGGAATGCAAAGATGCACAAAGCCTACAGTCAGCTCTCATGGGGTCCCCAGCGCAGGGGTGGGGTGGGGATGACACATGTTTAAGCACCACGAGAAAGGATAAACAGGCCAGGGTGAGAATGTGGCCACAGCACAGTTGCTCAGGCTCAGAGCCTCGCTGAGCTGAGCTAGGTCAAGTCTGACTGTAATCTTGGGTAGTTCCCCGAAGGGTCACTGCTATGCCATCAGGCAGAGTGTCTCCTTGGTGACCTCTCACCAGCAGCTAGGGACATCATGGGCTGCAATCCCTGTTTTCCTGCCAACGCAAAGAGCTTCAGAAGCACCATTGCCCGGGTGCCTGTCCAGAATGACAGTAAGAAGGACTCTCCTGGGTGCGCTCTTCTTCATGTTTGTGGCATTGTATTTGCCACCATTAACCAATTATGAGAACTTCCTACCCTAAAGGGAGACAGGTGAATGAGAACCTGCCTGCAGTTCACCCCTGGGATTTGGCACCGTCCGCCTGGTTTTTGTCTTACTCAGAAATGGGAATCCCTTCAGTTCTCCACCCACACTCTCCAAATAGAGGATGGAGGTCATTCTGCAGGAGATGAGGCAGCGCCATAGCTCAGCTGGAATAGCCCAGTTCTTGTCAAGTCTGCTTCTCTCCTTGGGGTCCTCGGGCACATGGCGGCCTGCATGGCCTTACTCCTGGGGTTCGCAG